GACAGAACAACCACGACAAGATGGAAATACAACTCCAGGTAAAAAGCAGAGGAAAGAAACCGCAGTCACGATATCGAGCTCAAAGTTATATAGAGGAGACTTTCCTCAAAATAAAGATGCAAGAATAGTCGATTACAACGGTGTACAAAGCAATAAACCAACTAAACTTCGTAAAACTACGACAGGTGTATACCAAAAAATATTTATCAAACTTCACAACACGGACAAAACTCTGCCATTTTCGAACAGCAATTGAAGTCTGTGTTATTTCGTCAATTTTAAGAGGTTTTTGTAAACTGATCTATTATTCGCTCTTTTAACAGGTGAATAAACGGTCTTAGCAGGTGTAATTAAAGCAAGTCCAGAACTGAGTAAACCACTAAGCTTTACAAAATAACTTTCGCGCGATGAAAAATAAAACAGCATCCATGACAGGAGTATTTAAATCTTTGAATCTCAAGTTTCCAGTTTTCTCTAGCATATTTCTTCACTGAGAACTTAGTGTTACATTCAGCATTTTGTATCTTTTTTTTTCATTTTTTCGTGAAACCGTTCTTTATCTATTTAGCTCAGAGTATCAGTTGAAATATCGAGAAAAGCTTTGAATAGTGATCACTGCTGGGAGTCAAACTGAGCTACAAACGTAGTTTTTAATTTTTTCAATGTTCGGGTTTTATTCGCGATTTACAACTTTATGAGTATGCAAAACATCAAGACGAATACATTTTCACATTTCAATAGCTTTATTTCATTAAAAGCAGAAAAGATATTAATTACTCAAATTTGTATAACAGGTCACTAAAGAATATTGCCAATTTTTGACATGTCTTCCTTCCATAACTCTCGTCATCCTGTAACAATAAACGGAAGTTGAATATATTAAAAAAAAAAAAAGTAGATACACATGAAGCAACCATAGGAGTTGAATTTCAAAAGCTAAAAATGTAAAATGAGAGTCCCTACAGTTCTCATTATGCATTCATTTTTTTTTTTTAATTTCGCTAATTCAATTCTCTGGTGAGCTTTAAAACTGCAGTCTTTGCTCAGGCTTTTCCGCAACAAATCTAATCGCTGAGGCTTCTCATGATCACTCGCACCTGCTCAAATTGCTGGCGAGGTGATATCTACAATTTCTTGAGGTCTCCTTACAACCTTTTCCTGGCAAGATTTTCATGTTATTTTTTTTTCACTTAGCTGCCCAGCTTTGAAAGAACAACGAAGAGCTTACAGATTTCAATTCACTATTAACTAAGCTTAGAGCATTTTTTTTTTTTATATTCAAAGTTCTGAGCGGAAAGATATTTGCAATTACAATTACATAGCAGCCGATTGTTTTGACGGGTACTGTGACATCTTGGAATCATTAAGTGATGACAAGAGAATATCTCTTGATAATGACTGGTTTTAAAAAAGCCAACCTTCATTTTGTTCGTTTTTTCTGTTCATCATTTTCTTACGAAAATCGTTTACATACGCAGCAGTATGAAATACGTCACTGCTCAGTCAAAATATCGACTGATGTAACTTATAATACGGGTAAATCTAGACTAAAAGCATCCCCGCCTTCTTACGTCGCGTCGGGCGAGTCAAAATAAGTCAGTGAAAAATAAACTTGATGTTAATTACCGCGCCGCGAGACTAGCCTCGTGAAGTGAAGTGACGTCGATGCGCCGCGAGAGCTCCATAAGGGAGGCGCTCGAAAAGTAAGGACTATGCACCAAGTCTAGACCTAGCCTGCTTGCAGACGGTAGTTTGTGTTTTCAAGCGCGGAATCCAGCGCGGTGAACATTCGGTTGCCATACTGAACGGGTGGAAGATTTGTGACGAGTGACAAAGTGAGAGGGAGGGGGAAGGGTAGAGGGTTGATAGTAAACCAGCCTGGGGAGACTGGTGCCAAGTCTTGGTAAAGTACGCATAAAAAAGGTATTATCATTAAGTTGGGCAATAAAAATAGTGCCGCAGCATCTTGGCTATGATACTGAAGGTCAAATCTGTACCTACAGCAACAAAGAAATCATTCATAGGCTCGGCCTTAGCTTGATCATCAACAATAATGTTACCTTGTGCATCTTTGAAGTCTCTTTTTTGAGTGGTTGTCCCTACAAATTTCCAAAAGTCCTCACTATATCTTTTCTTACTGAATTCTTGCCTCCATTAGCTTGCCTGTGATTCTTTTAAAGGTTTGATAACTTCAATCTCTCAGTTTGCAACTAGTTTACAGCTGGAATGACAGGAAACATAAGGTTGTAATTTGTCTAGAAATACGAAACATCGTTTTGACGTAAGTTATCATGCATAATACCGTATTAAGTATTTACGATCGGGTTTATTGTTCAGGGTTATGTCTTTGTCGTTATATTCTGGCTTAACATGCATGTAGACAATGAATTTATGATGGTGGAAACACTTAGTTGTTTTCCGCCCTCGACTAAGTTCAAATTTACGATGGGAGTACTTTTCTTCCGAGATCTAAAATGAAGAAAATAGGGCTGATAAAATTGATTTACTGAAATTCCAGAGAGGCGCTTTAGGTGGTTCAGTAGGGTTATGTAAGATCACGAAGCGCGCGCCAGTGACATCAATCGAAAGTTAATATTCTCGTTGTTTTTGCTATTTTTTAAATCAAAGCTACTGAAACATAAAAAACAAGGGCCTAAATTTGCTGTACAACAGTCACGTCTGAAGTCAAGGCTTTTAGTCCCAAATTAAAACTACTCAAATATCGCCATTTTTTGACGTCTGTTTGACTTTGATTTCAATTTTCTTCAATTTCGTTCGGTAAAAATTTTCTATTATTCTCCGACCGGGTAGAGTCTGACAAGACGAAACTTTTAAAATCGAAAAAAATAGGGGTTGTCAACGTAGTTTTTTCGCTTTTAATATTTTTTTTTGTTTTTTGACTGAGCGAAAAACTTGTCGTACAAATTTTTCTAATAAATTCACAGCAAGGAAAGCTAAAAGGGTATAACTTCTCTGCCAAATTTTAAGGAATTTCACTGAAGGAGATACGAGAAATCTGAGGGGGAACTCTCTATTTTCTCACCTCAATGACAATCACATCATCAGGGCAAAATCCGAGAAAACGCGCGCTGGTGGCATGTTGAGAGCCCTGGCAAAGATGGGATACGTGGGCAGGGAGGCTGAAACTCACTGAGCTTGTAGTCCAGCGAGATGGGTATTACGGCGCACAAAGCGCGCGTCTCAAACAATAGGCACGGCCGCGTGGCATGCCCGCAAAATCCGAGAAAACGTGCGCCGGTGGCATGTTGAGAGGCCTGGCAAAGATGGGATACGTGGCCAGGGAGGCTGAAACTCACTGAGCTTGTACTCCGACCGGGTAGAGTCTGACAAGACGAAACTTTTAAAATCGAAAAAAATAGGGGTTGTCAACGTAGTTTTTTCGCTTTTAATATTTTTTTTTGTTTTTTGACTGAGCGAAAAACTTGTCGTACAAATTTTTCTAATAAATTCACAGCAAGGAAAGCTAAAAGGGTATAACTTCTCTGCCAAATTTTAAGGAATTTCACTGAAGGAGATACGAGAAATCTGAGGGGGAACTCTCTATTTTCTCACCTCAATGACAATCACATCATCAGAAAAGGAACTCGCCAAGATCGCTATTTGAGCATGCGTGAACTTTCGAACCACGCGGTTTTGTCGAGGACGAATGTGTAAACACGGGCGGTCATAATCTTTGACGTTTTTGTACAAACTGCTTTTGACCTGAAAGTCAGTCGAGAACATACCTTAATTCACTATGCCACAGAATCCTTGGAAATCTCATCGAAGTGTTTCAAAATTGCGGAGACTATTCTCGTCGTGTTTGTGACCCTTGGAAGCGATGAGTGACTGGACAATGGCGGTCTCGTCAAAATTCACACAAGACCTTTCCATCTAAATCATTGGTACAAATTATTTAAATCCTCATATCTTAGGCTACTGCCAGTAATTTTTTCGGCCATACTTTGCTTTATTGGGCTATCCGCATGACCTGGGTTGTACAGCTTTCCTCGAAAAGACAGGAGTCTCCGATGACGGTTGATAAGATATTTCAGGTCTTCGGCGGCGTCCTTGACAGAGATTACAGAACTTCTTTTCACTTGCATTTCATCAGACAAAGCCAACCTAGGCGAAAGCAAGATTCTTCGAAGAGCGATCACGTCCTCTAGGGCGTCGTGGGCATCGGAGGTGGTTTGAAATAAATGTTCGTAAACAGAACTCTACCCAGGCTTTGGAAATTTACCTTCTGCGTTTGGGATGGAAGAGTGCTTGCTTTTGATGAGTGATTTCATCAGTGTCAGAGTGTCTGCAAACCGGATGGAACTGATGGAACTGAGCTCCGCGATAAAATTTTCGCCACCGTTTCGAAGAAGTATTGGAATATCAAATGTGGCGGCGTTGTGTCCAGCCAAGATTGTGCAAACAGGCTTTGTGGATCGTGTTGAAGCTGAATCTATGCTGGCCCTCAAAAAAGTTAAGAACTGCCTAAGTACTTGCGATAACTCAAAGGCTTCTACTAGTCGATTATCTTTGAAAAGTCGGCGGATTCCATTGACAGTTTTAACTGTAAGTTTGTTGACCTTTGACGCGTGAGAATCTATGTCTCTGGTTGGTAGAATATAGCATGAGAATTGTTTACCTGACCTATCCACGGCAGCGAGCTGACATACTTCTGCTGATTTTCCCGTTGAATTTGTCTCGATGTCAAATAAAACAAAGTGATAAAATTTACTGTCATCAAATTTTTCCTTTTGAACTGTGGGTCTCGAAGTGTATTTCGGAACTGCATTTTCGTACTGTTCTTGTTGTTGTTTCGTGAGTCNAACAAAACATGATTCAAGTTAGGAATTGTGGTTTTGTTTTCTTTTACATCAGAAAATCTAATGAACATATAACTGTAATATAAAAAATAAATAGAAAGTTTAACAACAGGAGAGTATGAAGAAATGCAAACAGCTCTACTACTTGATAATTACTGAAGGTTTCAACTGAGACGGGTTACTGTTGTAATTGAAAATTATAAGTGGCAACATCAGTAATCTGCATTAAAACCCTTGAGTTCCTGTTGAAACTTTCTCTTCTCAATCTATAAGCATTAAAAATACTGTTCATAAATGTACTTCAGTTGCAGTTTTCAATTGAATGCACAAACTCAACAAAATATATATCTATATACTTTTTAATACAAAAAGTCACCTGGGAGAAGGGGAATGCTATAACAGAGCATTGTCCCAGTGATAATAACATGAACATTTTTGTCTTTAGTGAAAGATACAACAATGGCTTTGGTATCCTGTTAAATGGTAATATAGAGAGGATGCATTCTGATCTTTACCATTATTTTGGTTCTTGCTGCAGTTTAGTTCTCTGCAACACTGACTGCAGCCACAACTTTAGTTTTCTTATCAAAGGTAACAAAGAGCATTGGCGTATTTAGGGATGCTTCAACAACAATATCTTCACTTAATGACTGCTTAGTGTCAAATTTAAACTACTGTAAGGCACTGAGCAAAGTATCATTAAAAAATGTCACAGTGGTATTAATGTCATCATGTCTCAGCAATGCTTGCAAGTGGTACTGACTGCTGCAAGCAGACACTTTCTGCCTGAGGCAACATGTTTCACGCTTTACTACATTCCCTGATGTTGCTGGAAGCTTTTTGTTACATTTGCAACATTGGCGATAGCACATGAAATTTTGAACACCAAGGACTTCAGCATTTGTTGATGTTTGGGTGAAGTAGTCTGGCAAATCACCTGGTGAAGCTACTTCCTCTTGGAAGGGATCAGCTGGTGAAATGGAACAGTCATGCTTTGGTGTAGTAAGGTAAATGGAGTAGTTGTCATTATCCTTCCTCACTTTAAGGTTACAGAAGTTATATGTGTTGTCGTCTGCAACATCAGGTCTTCCCACAGGGTTAGTTTGATTGATCCAGATGGATCTAGGAGGCAACAATCAGCTTTCGACTTCGTGCCATCTCTTGTGATTATTTTCTTCACTCCAGATAAGTGGACCACTTTGGCTTTGCGATTGATAAGTTGGTTATTGGTGACATTCGAGAGCATCGAGATGTTTAGAGTCGAGGGAATCTCTTCTCGTAGAAAAGTGACCTCCTTCAGTTCCTCTATTTGGAATCTTGCATTCATGAGAACACTGTCATTTTTAATAGTGACGTTGCTAATCTTTACTGGGAACTTTTGTTTGCTGTATCTTTCAAAGTCGAGATGTTTGCTTGAAGAGAAACAGACTCCACGTACTTTGGTCGCTTCTGTTTGAAAAAATCATGTCAAAATAGCGAGTCTTATTAGAGTGCTTAACTGGGGATACGTTATCAATTTATCCTGTTTGGTTGTCCATTGTCGTTCAAGTCCTATTACAACTGAGGTGTGTCTACCTGGAGAGAAATAAATGGTATGAGTAACTGTGGGTTGTACAAAAGGTATCAAAGAAAACTGCAATCTGTTTGTACTACAGGGCACAAAAGCAATAATCATAAAATAAACATACCTGGATATGTGTTGCATATCACATATCTGCAGATTACCCCTTAGATGTCAATCACGGTGCATGATTGGTATCTAACGTGTACATTTGAGTTTATTTAATTTTTTTGTACTCATTAACTTTGAATTTTCTCTTTTAAGAAAAAAAGAAAAACACATGGAAGTTACAGTGAAGGTGACAAGAAAACCGTGAAGGTCTATTTTTGAATCAATGCACAGATTGCTTTGTGATCAGAAAAATAAGTATTTAAAATGTGTACATGGATTTTGTGACTCAGGTAAATTAGTGTAGACATGGTCTATAGTGGTGCTGTTATCAGTAGTAGAACATGATACCAGTTGTCTGTAACTGTGATCTCTTATAAATAGATTTATAAAGAGGAATCTTGTCTTTTTCATTTAACCAATTGATTTTGAAATCGCCAATGAAAACTTTGAAACTTAAAATATCAAGGGTAAGAAGTCCTATCAATGTTACACACATTTGTCTAATTGACACTCTTGGTGACCGATATATGCCTATTATGGTAATATGTGGAACTGTTGTAACCTTAATTATAGTTATTTCAACACCACCAGTGTTGTTGCAAACTGGATATCCAGGTAGAAAAGGAATTTTACTGTACACTGTGGTTCCACCATAAGGTCTTGTATTGAAAACGTCAAGTTGACAGTCATTTCTAAATAGGGTATACCCAGTGATACGCAGCATGACTATTCTGTTGGCGTGGAGAGCATCGATCGAACACTTGAAAACATCCTTTAAAGTCTTTTACTCCACCACATTGACTCAAACTTCGAAAGCTGTGGCATACTGAAAAAACTACGTTATAGAAGTTCATCATAAAGTTTACAAGAGCAAAAGGACACTAACTAACTTTCCAAAGTGTGATCCACAAGTGTGAAATTCCTCCTTTCCTCAAAGCACGGGTAAAAGTAAAAAAAGATGTATTTGTAAACCTGCCTACAGGGTTTGGAAAATCCTTGATTTATCAGGCTCTTCCACTCGTGTGCGATCACATCAACAATCTTGCTGGGCATATCGTTGTTATTGTTTCTCCGCTCGTAAGTCTTATGGAGGATCAGGTCAATTACCTGCAAAGTATTGAAGTCAGCGCGGTAAAAGTTAGTTCCCAAGCAGAGATTGACTGCCCTAGTATTGAGTATGGGAGATATTCGTTAGTTTTCGGCTCACCAGAAGCGTGTCTCAAGAATGATCGTTGGCGATCGATGCTAGGAAATGATCTATACCGTGCGAGGTTATGTGCTGTGGTTATCAATGAAGCACATGTTATAAGACAGTGGTAAGTCAAGAACCAATTCCTTACTTCTCTTAACATGCCATTTTAGCTTCGCCTTATGTTATTTAAGTTTATATATTTTCCTTTTACAATTAAGTCAAGTGGTTAACAATAGGAATGCTCACTTTCTCGAGGGCATTTCCAAAGCAGATGTGATAGACGTAAGCTTGATTTACAAAGGTGTTATCGTGTTCACAGTCCTGTCAAAGAGCTCTTGTTCACCGACATTATCCTCCTCGTCCGTTCGCAGCAGTCTTTGCCCCTTTTTTGTCTCTTGTCAAATGAACTTTTACCGGAAATGTAAATTTTATCTTTTGTGAGTGAAATCAAGGAACAAATGAAGCATCTTGAACTACTTTCTACCAATTTCATCGGAGTTAAATCCATGGGAAATTTTTGAGATGACTAGCAACTCTAGAAAGCGCCGATGAATTTACGCGGGGAACTTACGACATTGAAATTTGATTGATTTTATCGTGAAACCAAAGGCGACGTGTGATTGGTGCAAACGCGCATTGTCACGTGCAGTCATCGTGAAATCTAAACAAAGGGAAAGGAATGTGGCTCGGGTTTAAGCAGCCGGTTGGTGGGGAAGGGAGCGTTGCGTGACGAGCCCAAACAACGGCTGCGAAGGAGACCAGGGTAAAAGCAAATGGTGATCAAAAGATCTGAGTCATCGTCATATTTTCTTCCCCGAATTCAATTGCTCCCGACTCTTTCTTGCGGTTTTCTACTTGAATCCAATTGGTCAACCGACAGTTTCCGAAATTATAACGATAACATATAGACATGGTTACACATTCCACTGTTTGAAAATCAGTGTACAATTCATGTTATCAGTCACGTAAGGTAAACTACCAGTAAAACATCATATTTCGTGCTCAAATGTGGCGCATATAAAGTGCTTTTCGAATTCCGTACGCTCTTCCATTGTGTCTGCGTGCTAACGCACTAGACACAAAAATCACTGGGATCTGGAAGAAAGTAAACACAATATGGCGGCCTTTCTGAGTTACACTGTTGTTCGAAGATGGAAAGAACTGCTTATTCTAATACCACAGCAGGAGGAAAAATGGTATTTAAGAGGTCTTGTAACTTCCAGTTTATGTCATCTGCTGTTTATGGAGCTTGAATGAAAAATGTGACTTGGAAAGCGGTTTAACTCTTAACTGGAGACCACGTGAGATCCGTTCATGTCAACCGGTAAGGTAAACTTTTACTGACTTTTAACATGGCTTGACAGATACATTGAATCATTTTTTTCTCTGCCTCCTGTTATTCTTAGTTGCGAAGCAAGCCTGAAATATTTTCGAATTATTCTGATATTTTTAATACTTTTGGCACAATTTTAAATGTTTTGCGGGATATTCAAGCCATGTACGTATAACTCTACCAAGGAGCTGAGTTTGCAGCACAAGGTTCTCAATCGGGCTAAACACATTTCTTGTTTGTTTTTTAGCTTATGTCATCGACATTCGTTAGTCGGCACTATTTGAGAAATAACTTTATAGCTGATAGTTAATCCGTAATTATCAGGATATTTATATTCTTTAATTCTTTAAGACTGTCCAATTGAAGATTAATTTGGATAGTTAAAGTATCCAAGTTAGTCCTTGATTGGACAGTTTTAAAATATTAAAGAATAATAGCATAACTGAGTGGTGTCCAATTACGACCGACTAGGTATGAGAAACAGGACTACATGCTTATCCAATTTTGGNAACAGCATTAAATACCGTAAATCCTCTATTAAGCCCCCTGGGGGCTTATATTTTTAAATCACGTTTGAGGAGGGGCTTAATAGAGACACCTGTAGGGGGCTTAAAAGAGAGGGGGGGCTTACACAGTATTTAATTTAGCAAAATGCATCACCTGTAGCAAAAATACCGTGGTGTGAGACAGAGTAGACTTACGTGTTGTACAATTAAAGTCACTGTCAAAAGTATTTAATTCACTTGTGGGAGCCTAAGGGTAACAAAGAAAACATTCTTATTCTTCAAAAATGTGCT